CAGGGGACCTCCCAGGACAATGGCATAGATGCCAGGCCCTACCTCACCCTCCCTCTGCTCCTTCCCTGACTGGAACCTGACCCCCAGCTTGGCCCAGGGGCAGAAGGAGGTGCCCTCAAGTGGCCTCATCTTTGTGTCCCTTCCACATGGCTGTGGATTGAACCAACCTCTGCCTTCCTCCCTCTCTCCTTTTCATCCTTCAATAAACAAAGCCAGAGAGGCCAGCCTGCCCTCTTCCCTGCTCCAGCTGGAGCAGTGGTTCTACATTCTTTGCAGGCTCTTTGGGCTCCTACCCCTGCCCAGGTGTCTTGAAGGCCTGCTGCAGAGCAGGGAAGGCCTGGCCAGGCAAATGGCTGGGACACCAGCAGCCTCTGAGATTAGGAAAGGCCATGAACTCACTTGAGACCTTCCACCCCAAGGCCAAGGTTGACCCCTCCAAGGTCCAGTACTACCCCTAGGTTGGTGGTCAGGTACTGCCTCTCTAAGCAACACTAGGCCATTGGACCTGCCAAAGTCCCAGGTAGTCACACCCTGCCTGGCAAGACATGTTGAGGACAGCCTCCACTTGTCTGCTCTTGCCTCCTTTCACCTGCTCACATGCATCTTGCTGTGCCAGGCCTGGGCTGGGGCACAGAGACACTATGCTGATGCTTTCTCCGATGGGCTCTGCCATGCTCTGAAACACCTGAACAGTACAAGCAGGGGCTAGGAAATCCCATTCAAGATGATCTTGTCCAAGGTGTGACCCAATTTCCTCCTTGGGCCTCACTCTCTAGAGAGCCTTGCTTGACCCTGGTGGACTGTCCCTGAGTCTAGAAGGGGATTTAGGCTGTGAGCTCAGAGAGGGAGGGTGTATGTTGCCTGTCCATGTCCAACGGACTCTCTCAGTTCCTCTGGGAGGATCTCAGTTCTAGAGCTCAGGGGGCCTTGCTCTGACTCCAGTATGTGACTGATATTTGGCCAATTACAGAATCAAATTATCCTTGCCTACATGACGGGTTTGGGGTTGTGTGCTTCCAAGTTGGCCCACTGAGGCTTGGGTCTGAACAGTCTATCTTCCAGACTCAGAACGTTGGAGTTACCTTGGCATCAGGAGCGTGAAGTGGAGCTTCAGCATGTCCTGGTGACACTGCTGGAGAACCTGGATCCAGCCATACCTGAAGCTGTGCATGCCTAGATTTTTCACTGTGAAATCAACTTCTTTTTCACCCAAGTCAGTTTGAGTTAAGATTTCTGCACTCATCTGAGAGACCTTGCTGATAGGAAGGAAAGAAAGAGAAAACAGAGGACAGATGGGGAGTGGCTGGACCTGGGTCTGCAGCAGAGCAAGCTAAGTGGCATTTTATGAATGGTGATGCAGATATTCCATAACAAGCAGCTTGCATTACTGTGACATGACATCTTTCCCAAGTCACCAGTGCAGTCTGCTAGGCACAAACCTGTGCCTGGGCCCAGATGCACCGTCCTATGGGATTGAGGAGGGAGCAGAGGTGGGACACAGGGATTGTGTGGCCACGAAGGGTGGGCACTCCCCTGGGGAGGATGCCTCTTTCAGCAGGGGGCTGGGCCAGGTGAGCTCCTGGGCTCTCCCCTGCCTGGAAGCCTGAGCCCCTGAGGCTCTGAGGCTCTCCTGTGTGGACTGGGCTTCTACCACTCAAAGCAGTGGCTTCTTTTGGCCGTTTTGCATGTGACACATTGTGTCCTAACATGCTTGTTCACGGCCAGCTCCCTTGAGTATCTGAGCACACTGGACTGTCCATGCCATTTTGTCCACAGGGTATCAGGCACAGGCTTGGTCCACGGGCGGTACTTAGAAAGTATTGTTGAGTGAATAAATGGATGTCTCCAGTTGCTTAAGTTTTTGCTGTTTTTTTCTAGGTTGGTGGTCAAGATGGTGGACAAAGGTTGTATGGGAAGCTCCCCTTCTTTCTATGAATACACAGAAATGCTGGGTAAAATACAGCTATTTAAAAGAACAAAGATACAAGGTCAAAAACAAGAAGAGGAGGCCTCCAGCTTGTATGGGGAGAGAAGGTGCAGCTGCAACGCCCACGGAGGGCCACAGACAACCAGGCCTGTGCAGTGATAAGTGGGCTCTGTGTGAAGCCAGAGGCCAGCAAACAGCTGCTTCTTCCATGAGCCAAAACTATCAAAATTCCTCCTATGGCCTTGGGATTTGTTCCAAATCAGTCACGGCTCTACCAAAGATGGGCTCACAGTCCAAATTACACAGCACACCAGAAACTTGCCATTCCTGAGGCAGCAGACATAAAACACCAGAGGAAACTCAGTTACTGCTGCAATCCAAGATACTGTAAAGTAAGTACGGTATTGCTCCAGACCTTCTGTGGATACCAAAACCCTCGGATGCTCAGGTTCCTTCCATAAATGGCACAGTATTTGCACAGAACCTACACAGCCCTTCTATTTACTTTAAATCATCGTTAGACAACATACAATACCTAATACAATGGAAATGCTGAGACAACTGTTACTACTGCACTGTTGAGAGAATACTGACAAGAAAAAGTCTGAGCATATTCAGAACAGATGCATTTTATTCTGTGTATTTTTGGTCTCAGTAAGTTGAATCATGTATGTGGAACCCATGGGTACTGAGTCCCCATTGTATGTTTAAGATTAAAGAGGGTCCCATAACACAGGGCTGAGCAGGATGAAAAGGAATGTACAGAAACAGAGATGTATGCAGCTCATGGCCCTTGTGTTATGGTTTGAATATGAAATGTCCCCACACGGCTCGGTTGGCAGCTGATGGGCTTCTGGGAAGTCACTGGATCCTCAAGGCTCTGACTTGATCAATGAGTCCCTTAATGGATTCACGGTATGAAGGCATTATTACGAGGTGGCAAGAAGTAGGAGTTGGGCGTGGTGGAGGAAATAAGTCACTGGGGCATGTCTTTGGGATACATCTTTCCCTGCCCCCCTCCTGTATTCTCTCTCTCTGCTTCCTGGCCGCCATGAGTGAGTAGCCTCTGCTACATGTTCCTGCTACTCTGATGTTCTGCCTCAACACAGGGCCAGAATCAGCCAAGCCAAGGCCTTCGGTCTGAAATGTCTGACACCCTGAGTTAAAATAAACCCTTCTTCACTTAAGTTTATGTCAGGCCTTTTGGTCACAGTGACATGAAGTCTGACTAATACACCCTCCTAGTATGTAAGGTGTCCTGTAGATGTTTCTGAGGTGGGAGAACCCAAGAAGACTGTGTATGTAACCAAACCTAGGCAGGGGTGTGAGGTATTGAACTGTGCAGGCTGGGTTTCCACCCTGCACTGGGTAGTCACTCGAGGTACCCTGGCAAGTGCTCCTCACTGGCCTCAGTTTTCTCAAGGGGAATTCAGGTAAGAAGAACACTCAAGGTGGTTTAGAGGTGCCGTGCACTGCCATGGGGAAAGTGCCTGGCATCGTGTGTGGCATATTGTTGCTCCATACATGACTGTGGCTAATTAATTCTGTCTCCTCCTCTCCTTTCTACAAAGAGGAAGAGCTTTGGGGTAAGTCAGTCCACAGGCCTGAGAGCTTCTTGAACTGGGTGGAGTTTGAAGGACACTTTTTTACAGGGGCAGAGAAACAAGTGACAGCTCCATCCACCTAATTTTTGTGTGACCTCCACAGCCTCACTTCCCATAATCTTTAAAATGATGATGAAACCTCTACCTTGCATTGTCTTGTGAAGGTTAATGGTACCGTGGATAGGATTCTATTATAAAGTCCTATCCAGGTTCACAGTTACTCTTATATTCATGCCGTAAAGGACCAATTGTGACTTTAAGGCAAAATGGAGAGAACCTTTATTTCTCCTCTTAGAGAAAGTTCCAAGGCTGGACATAGGCCTCACGCCAAGCAGCCCTGCTCTTTAGTTGATCAGCTATGCAAACAGGAAGCGACTATCCAAACATTTGGAGCTGCAGGAGGCAGCCTCTTTGAGGTCTCCCTCTCATCTTCCAGATGCACCACAGAAGTCACAGATGCACCACAGAAGTCACAGATGGGCCCCTCCTCTGAGGACAGAGGTTCAAAGCCAACTCTTCTGTCTGCTCTGCCTAGCCCCGGCCAGGCCATCTTCCCCTCCCAAGCAGCACTCCTCACTGTCTCCCACTGTGCTTCACCTTCCTCCCCCTCAGTCAACCCTGAAGCCCAGCAATTCTTCACTGAAATGCAAATCTGCGTCTGTCTCCCCTTGCTTAAAACTTTTCCTGGGTCAGGTTCTCTTAAGGGAAACACTTCAAGGTCCTTGTACCACCTTCCAAGTTTACTCCCCCACCACCCTCAGTTCTTAGCTTGGAGTCACTTGGGGACACTTCCTGGCTTCCATCCCACCTGCTGCCACACGTCTCCTACTCCTTAGTGGCTGCTCACCACGGGATTTTGGTCTGTCTTGTTCACAGTCTCATTCCTGGGACCAGGCATGGTGCCAGGCATGACTCCAGTCTCAGAGAAGGTACTCAGCCCCTGGCCTTGTGATTTGAAGGGAGAGGAAGCTCTGGTTACTGAGCACCTGTCTCATGCCTGGCAGGTCCTAGCCTCTTGCAGCCACTCTGGCCGGCAGGGTGGAGCTCAAGTCTGTGTTGCACCCAAGAGCAATAGGCTCAGGCGGGGGTGGTGACTTCCCAAAGTCACTCATCTGTCAGTAGTTCTGTCAGGATTTGAACCTTGGTCCCAAGTTCAGCTTCCTGCCTTGATGGAGCTACAACAGAGTTTTCTCTTGTGAAGAATAGGGCATTCCAGGACCGGCCTCACAGGGCTGTGGTGAGGGTCAAATGAGGTAAGCCGTATACAGTGAATGCTCAGTCACTGATAGCTATTATCAGGATCACATCGAAGAGCAAAGAGCAAACACATCCAACTGCGATCGACAAAGGGGCTTTGTGCGTGAACAGAAGGTGGATGGATGGATGGAGGGGACCAAGCAGCCAAGTTCAGCATGATTTCACAAATGCAAGAGCCGAGGGATAAAAGGCAGAGCATAAGGCTGGAGAACGCGCTGCAGCTCAGCTTGGCCTCCAGCCGCCGCACCCCGCGCTGCAGGCCTGGCACCCTCCATGCCAGCGCCTCTAGCTCCCGCACCCGGCGCAGGCTGCGCAGCACAGCCTCCCGGGCCTCCTCTGAGCGCCTCCTCACCTCGGCCTGGCCGCGCTGCAGCCGCCCCGCGCAGGCCTCGGCCGCCGCCAGCGCGACCTGCAGCTCCTGCGCCGCCGCCTTGCACCCGCCGCGGCCCCGCCTCCGCCTCCGCGGCGCCCGCCTGGCTCTTCCAGAGGCCGACCTGCCGGGCTGGGAGAGGGAGGTGAGGTGAGTGCCCCCATCCCTGCACATCTGAGGCTCGCTCGCCGAGATCATTTGATCTTGGCGTTCCCCTAACGAGGAGCTCTAATTATCTATCCCTATGTCTTTATGGATGAGGAAAGCTGGGGCGCGAAGCACGCTTGCTGCTCTTTGCCTGAAACAGGGATTTCCAAATTTCAAGACTTCTTGGCCTCTCTCCGGTGTCAGCTACCGTCGCTCCAGGATTTGCCGAACAGCTTCAGCACCTGAGACTACATTCCCGCCCTCCCTGGCATCTGCTCGCTGGGCTGGCGCTCCTCGCGGTGGAAGTTTTGTGTCTTTACTGCTTCCCAAAGCCTACTCCAGCCTGGCACAGGGTGCCCAACAAACGCCTCAGAACGAGTGACGGGGCGATCTATGTAGCCTCCTCTCAGGAACCCTACATCTGACCAGTGTGATTTGTCGCCCTGTCAGTGCATTCCCCCACCCCCGCTTAGCCGGCGCCGGTGCCACCTGCTCTTCCCCTACCACACATGGCCCTGGAAGCTACTCCTTCGGATGGATGACTGGGCTAAGGTGTGTGTGTATGGGGGGGGGGTGGCGATATAATGTCAGCTTTCTCCTGGTTACCTTAGGGTCCTTTTGGGGTAGAGGCTCTTCCTCTCCTCCTTTGGCCCTTGGCACCCAGCACTGCTCTTGGCACACGACTGGACACAGTGCTGTGTGTTTATCGACTGATCCCAGAAACCAGGACCGGGTCGGTAGCTCGTCCAGTGACTTGTTCTCAATAGCTTAGAGTGGGTCTGGTCCCCACAGGGACTTGGTGGCCAATCACTGTCTGGGCCACCGTGTTAGCCACCCTGGTTAATTCTCACTTGGGCTCTAGGCCTGGTCCTGAGAGATTCCGTTAGGCAGGGAGCCCCTTAAGGGGGAGGTCGGGCCTTCTTCACTTCTCTTGCCCCTGAACCCAGAAGCTTGGCACGAAGGAGCGAGAAAGATGCTTGTCGAATAACTGAATACACCACCGCCCAGAGAGGCTCAATGGGCGAGGCGGAAAAGAAGGCTGTGGTGTGGGATGGTTGTGGTGTTAGGAAAACGCCGCACACCACACACAAAGGAGGCTCACGAGAGTTATCTCATGTCCAAAGTTTAATAAGCAAGCTGGCTGGTCTAGAGAAAATGGTGCAGCAGCTTCTCTCGGCGGTCTGGCCTTAAGTAGCATGTTGGAGAAAGCAAGGGCTAGGGACTGACAAAGAGAGGTGGCAGGAGATAAGGGACAGTGGGGCTTTGTTCTGCAAGGGATGAGACCAGCTGCTGAAGCAAGGTCTAGGGGCGGGCAAAGGAAGGTGGCGGGAGATAAGGAACAGTGGGTTTTGTTTTGCAAGGGATGAGACCAGCTGCGGCTAGGCTGCAGAAGGGGCAGTTCTTATCATGTGGGACTGAGGTTTTCTGGAATGGAATAGGTGGTAAAATAGAGGTGGGGATTGGAGGCACAAGGAAGCAAGTTGACTGAAGAGGGCTGGGATGGAGTAGGGCTGCTCTCTCGCTCCCCTTCCGCATCTTGTGCCTAGTTCTGGCGCAGCAGCCCCTCAACCCCCTCCCTCGCCTCCGCGGGGCGCACCTGCAGGGCCAGGCAGCGCGCGTCACTGCTCTGCAGCGCGGCGCGTAGGTCCTCCACCAGCTCGCGCAGGCTGCTGTTCTCCTCCTCCAGCCTCGCCACGCGTTCGCCGTCTGATCCGCCGTCCGGGTTGCGGTCTGGGCCGGGCGCGCCGGGCGGGCGGCGGCGGCGCGGGCGGCGCAGGCGAATCTGCGTCTCGATGTGCTCGCTGAGCGCGCCGCGGGGCAGCCGGGCCCCGCGCGGGCGCCGAAGTAGCCGCAGAGGCGCGCGTGGAACTGGCGGAAAGTGAGCTCCGGCGGCTCGGCGCGCAGAGCCAGGCGCGCCTCCTCCTCGACGTCAGCGTCCCCGTCCCCGGCGGCCACAGCCCCGGAGTTTGCGTCTCTGACGGCCGAGTCCTGGGCGGCTTCGTCGGCCGCACCCTCGGCGCGCAACCCCAGCACCGCGCAGAGCGCGCGAAAGTCGGCGCGGGGCAGGCGGCCAGCGCCGCGGCAGTCCAGGTGGTGGAAGACCTCCTGCAGGTACTGGTCCAGCCCGGTGGCCAGCACCACGATCTCGTTCTCCACGCCGCGGTCCAGCCCATAGTGGTGAGCCAGGGCGCTCAGCAGCCACTGCGTGCGCCGCGCCGGCCTCCTGTACGGGTCGCCCACCGCGCCTTCCATGCCGGCCTTGGAGTTGCGGCCGTCCGGCTGCACGGTGGATCCTCGCTCGCTCCTCCCGTCCCTCCTCCGGTCCCTCCGCCCGCCACTTCCAGGGGCGGCCTCAGAGTTCCTGGAAAGGAGGGGCTTGGAGGTGGCAGTCAGTCTGGAGCGGCGCCGGGGCCCGCGTCCAGCTGCAGCTTCGCTGTTTTCCCCAGTTGCTAAGTGGGCTTGGAGCCGGGGTTCTCCTCCGGTCTAGCTGCTCCCCGCGACCCCCGCGCTTTGCTCCCGCACCACGCCCAGGGGGCTCTGCCTCCCTCTCGCAGACGGCTTTCTTTTTTGTTTATTTATTTACATGTGCATACATTGTTTGGGTCATTTCTTCACCCTGCCTTCCTCCCCCACCCTTCCCTCTCTCAGACGGCTTTCTGTCCCAACCCCTGTCCCGCCTGCCCGCCTGGCGCAGAGTGGGCCCGAGCGGGAGCCGCGGCGGCGCGCGCGATAGCGCACTGGTGAGAATCCGGGGGTGTCCGGCTGCCCCGCCCATGCGTCACCGCCGCCTCCCCTACCCCCGGGTGCTGTCGGAGGGCAGAGGGGCAAGCCAATCCGCTCTACCCGGGGGGCGGAAAAGCCTCCTTTCCCGCCTAAATTCAGCCACCAGCTTTCCCAACTCGCCCTGCACCCCACGTGGTAACAAGCACAGGAGCAATTGTACCAGGTGGAAGAAGAGGGACTTGGTTAGGGTCATCCCGCTGTGAGAAGCTGGTCCCAGAGGGATCCTATGTCTTTAAGTGTGTGGGATAGGATTCCCCAGAAACTGATTGTCTGCCAGCTTTCCACCTTTATGCCCCAGGCAGTGAGTGTGCCCTGGGACCTGAGTTCCATCTCTGGGCTGGGATCTGGTGGACAGGTTGAGGTTCAGTCACCATCTTCTCTGGTGCCTTAAAACTTGGTTGTGAGAGGCAAATGACAAACCAGCCTCTCAGATGAGTGCTAGATGATTTTTACTTTGTCTCACACGTTTTCTGCTCTGGGAACATCCTTGCCTATAACATGGGTAGAATCTGGCTTTGTGTATAACTCTGGTTTTAAATATTAAACCCTGCCATTTGAAAAGAGTAAGAATTTGTTTCCTCTGCCACTATGCACCAGAAACATTTGTCCTTTTGGCAAATTCCTACTCATTCTTGAACACTCCTACCTACTGGGAGGGAGTTAGGTGCTCTGTCTCCAAACCATTTTGGACATTTTTAGGTTTGTTTTTAAATGATAAAAGTAATGGCGATTTCACAAAAAGTTTTATACCAATTTCACTTCTTGGCTTGTACCTTAGAAAACCACTGGTGTACAGGATGTTCACTGCATCATTGATTAGAAAAGTGAGAAACTGATATTCACAGCCTATCAGGCAGGACCAATCACTAAACAGAGTGGAGGAAGCACATTGGAGCATGTTATGTAAATATTCACATGTACAACACCACCACCACACAAAACATTACCAAGCACTTTCTACAAAGACACCTGTATGGAACTGCACAGAAGATGAATGCCATTCACAATCCTTTCAGTGGCTCTCTGGGGATGGGAGACCTTTGAAAAGCTTTCACTGCAATGTTTCCTTTGAACAAGGTGATGGTTTCTTTGATTCTCTCTTTTGTGGTACTGGGGATTGAACTCAGGGCCTCAAGCTTGCCACTTTGAGCCGTGCCTTACAGTTTGTTTTTCAGATAGGGTTTTGCTCTATTTTCTGGACTGCCTACAACTGCAATCTTCCTCTACCTCCTGAGCAGCTAGGATTACAGGTGTCATCTACCACACCCAGATTGCTTTTGAGATAGTGTCTTGTTACCTTGTCCAAGCTGGCTTCAAACTGGATATTCCTATCTCCTTCTCTTGAGTATCTAGGATTACAGGCATTACGAACATGCCCCTCCTTTAAGGGGAGAATGCATTTTGTTTTTCATTTGCATGCATTTTTGATGTATGTACTCATTTGAGGTGTATGCATCAATAGTTTTTAATATATTTACACTTGGGTAACTATGACTACACTAACTTTCGAACATTTTCATCACCCTCTGCCAAGTAAACCCTTGTACTAGTTATTCCATCCCCTCTGCCTGTCCACTCTGAATGTCCCTCTGCTGTTGGTCTCCAACATTTTCTGTCTCTATGGGTTCACCTCTTCTGGACTTTTCAAGTAACTAGAATCATACAAGGGTGTCCCATTATAACTGGCTGTTTGGGAACACATTATCGTAATGGTTTCAAGGTTTACCTGTGTTGCAATATGTTGGCACTTATCTCTTTTTAGTGCTGAATAATGTTCCATTGTGTGGGTAGACCACATTTTGTTTTTCCACTCATCAGTTAGGAGTGGATGGCCAGTCCTGTGCAGTTTCTTGAGGAATGGCCAGACTTTCACAAAGTGACTTCCCCATTTTGTTCCCACTGGCAGTGTATTTGATATGTTTCCTGATGCATGGAGAGTGCCCCTCTCCCCATTTTCTGCATCTCAGTTTGTGGTGCCAACACCATCTTTGAGGCCTTGTTTGTCAGTTTCCCATTGCTGTACAAATACCCGAGATAATAACTTAGTAAGAGAGGTTTTGCTTCACAGTTTTGTAGGTTCCAGTCCGTGGTCAGTTGGACACTGGACACGCTGCTTTTGGGCCTATGGCTTCAAACAAGGTGAGGGCTCATGGTGGAGTAAAAGCCATTCATTACATGGTTGGAAGCAAAAGAAGGGGCTGGGGTCCTACTGCCCGCTTTACAGACACATCCCAGTGACATTCTGCACCCTTCCAATAGCACTACCCTGGGACCAAGCTTGTAGCATGTGGGCCTTCTGGGGACTTTCTAGATCTAAACTGAGACTCTCTCCCTCTCATATCCCACATCCAGTTGTCAGGCTATCCAGAGCCTACCTGCAAAACACATCAGGCCAGGGGGGATGGACACATCTGTTAATGTTCACCTGTAACAGTATCTCTAGCTCTCATCCCAGCTGCCTCCTCCTGGTTGCCACAGCAGATGGCATCATGACATGTTGCCTTGTGCGTGCTTTCTTTACTGAGACGTGATAGTGCCTTTATTGGCGTGCGTAGTCCAAAAGCAGCCCCTGCACCATGTCATCTGTGGGTCTCACAGGGCTGGCTACACGAGGCTAGCGACCTGGGGTCCCCAGTGACAGTGCTAATGGCTTTGGTTTGTGAGAATTTATTCCTGTAGAAGTGACCTCACACCTCTAGTAGGCATCAGTAGGATTTCAGTGTCCTTTGGCCTAGTGATGTTGGTGCTCCTGAGGCTCCAAATGTTGGTAGTGACTTGTACATGCAGCTGAGCCATAGAAGCTTCCAGGCTGAGTGTCTTGTGGCGGAGGTCTGATAATTCATTTAGGGCAAGACTCTGGGGCTTGGCAGTCAGAGCTCAGAGCCCCATCTCTGCAGATGAACCTGATCTTTCACACATCAGAGCTGAGAGCTAGTAGCTCAGCCAATGATACAACACGCACCCTTCCCTGTCTCTGTTAGTAATTGCCTTTGCTGCAGGAATCCCTTGAACAGCAACTCCCCTTGGGCCAGTCCACGCTGAAAAGAAAGCTTTTCAATATCTGGCCATGGAGCCGTTGCTTGCCTCCGCTCCCCTATGGCTCAGGGAGGCGAGAGTTTATAATAGTGTGCTGTCAGGCCTGTCTGTCTGTGGGGCCCTGTTACCAGGCATCTCTGAAATTATTCCATTTGGGTCCACAAGGTTTTTGTTTGAGGTTCAAAGTGAGCAAACGCTTAGGTCTCTGGTCCTTTGTATGAGGTGGGGGATGGGTAGACAGTCAGGGCCCCAAAGGAATCACTTTCTGAAGTCACTACAGTATTGTTTGAGCCACTTCCATCTGTGTGCTGTTCAAAGTGACTTTACAAAGTCTGGAAAAATGTGAAGACGCAAAACCACCCACCATCTTGCCACAAAGAAGAGACCATGGTGTATTTCTCTTGTATTTATTTCCAAACTTTTCCATGCATTAAGGCATGAAAGACCTTCTGGGGTGATGGGAATACTATATCTTCATTGGAGTGGTGGGTTCCATGATTGAAGACATCTTCCAAACACCTACAAAGGGCAAGCTTACACTGTGCAAACTGACCTCCTCACTTTCATCCACAGGAACTGGACTCCATAACAGCAGACACAGCTCCTGAGGTGCTTACAGTGAGATGTTTTTCAAAGTTCTTTATTAAGACAATGCTGAGAACTTTGCTCTGGGCGCTGGGTGATTTGTCACTGGGTTAAGGACTGTAAGCACCTTGTAAGCTCTTGATATTGTCAAACTGTTTTTCAGAACGTGTGTCATTCTGTGCAGCCCCCAGATGTCTGGAATGTCCTTGAGCCATTATTTTCACCACCTTTAAGCACATTTTCCGGAGGTTTGGTTAGTAATCTGCTTAGTATTCAGACATCAAGTTTCACTTTTTTCTGTTAAAAAGGGGTCTGGGCTGGGAATGGAACTTAGTGGTACAGGGCTTGTGGGTGAAGCCCTGGCATCATTCTCCAGCACTGTAAAAACATAAAATAAGAATTAAAAAAGGACATGCAATTAGGCAAAGTTTCTTAAATATAACATTTAATGAATGGTCAAAAAAAAGAGAAAAAAATTAACAAATTGAGCCTCACTAAAACTCAAACCTTTGTACTTCAAAAGATATTATTAAGAAAATGAAGCCTGGCAAGGTGGCAGACGCCTGTAATTCCAGCACTCAGCAAGCCCAGGCCAGAGGCACTTGAGTTTGAGGGCCAGCCAGACTCTGTCTCAGTAAAGACAAACAAGACACTGGGAGAAAATATTTGCAAAACTTATGCCTGACAAAGGACTTGTGTTCAGAATTTATAGTGAACTTCTTATGACCCAGTGACAAGAACATAACTAAAACAATCAAAAAGTGGGCAAAAGATATGAATAGAGATTTTGACTATAAATGCATGTTCAGTAAACAAAAAGATATTAGTGTCATTGGCCAAATACAAATTGAA